TAAAATATTGCTATGTTGAACCTGGCCCGAAGAGATCCAGCTAATCATTCTCTGTTGATTTCATATTGAATTCTTTCACCGCGTTCACCGCCATTCACCGCATAATAGTCTCCTGCACCGCATGAGATAAGCAGGTTACAACAATCTACTATTGTCTTTAATTTCACAAAAATTTCAGATCGTCCCAGGTGGCTTAGTGGTAGTTCGTCTGGCCTGTCTCTATTAACGTTTGGGTTCAAATCACGTTGAACTCATATTTTGTAGCGGACTCACAATATTTTTTTTCCTTTATATAATCTGGCTATTTTTCACTCTTTTTATAGTTCTATGTGAGATATCGCTTTGCAAGTAGTATAAAATATTGCTATGTTGAACCTGGCCCGAAGAGATCCAGCTAATCATTCCGTGTTGATTTCATATTGAATTCTTTCACCGCATTCACCGCTATTCACCGCATAATAGTCTCCTACACCGCATGAGATAAGCAGGTCACAACAATCTACTATTGTCTTTAATTTCACAAAAATTTCAGATCGTCCCTGGTGGCTTAGTGGTAGTTCGTCTGGCCTGTCTCTATTAACGTTTGGGTTCAAATCACGTTGAACTCATATTTTGTAGCGGACTCTCAATATTTTTTTTCCCTTTATATAATCTGGCTATTTTTTACTCTTTTTATAGTTCTATGTGAGAAATCGCTTTGCAAGTAGTATAAAATATTGCTATGTTGAACCTAGCCCGAAGAGATCCAGCTAATCATTCTGTGTTGATTTCATATTGAATTTTTTCACCGCGTTCACCGCCATTCACCGCATAATAGTCTCCTACACCGTATGAGATAAGCAGGTCACAACAATCTACTATTGTCTTTAATTTCACAAAAATTTCAGATCGTCCCTGGTGGCTTAGTGGTAGTTCGTTTGGCCTATCTCGATAAACGTTTGAGTTCAAATCACGCTGAACTCATATTTTGTAGCAGACTCACAATTTTTTTTCCCTTTAATCTTTATATAATCTGGCTATTTTTTACTCTTTTTATATTTCTATGTGAGAAATTGCTTTACAAGCAGAAAAAAATATTGCTATGTTGAACCTGGCCCGAAGAGATCCAGCTAATCATTCTGTGTTGATTTCATATTGAATTCTTTCACCGCGTTCACCGCCATTCACCGCATAATAGTCTCCTACACCGCATGAGATAAGCAGGTCACAACAATCTACTATTGTCTTTAATTTCGCAAGAACTTCAGATCGTCCCTGGTGGCTTAGTGGTAGTTCGTATGTCCTGTCTCTATTAACGTTTGGGTTCAAATCCCGTTGAACTCATATTTTTTAGCGGACTCTCAATATTTTTCCCCTTTATTTATTCTTGCTATTTTTTATACTTTTTGTACTTCTATGTGAGAAATCGCTTTGCAAGTAGTATAAAATATTGCTATGTTGAACCTGGCCCGAAGAGATGCAGCTAATCATTCTGTGTTGATTTCTTATTGAATTCTTTCACCGCGTTCACCGCCATTCACCGCATAATAGTCTCCTACACCGCATGAGATAAGCAGGTCAGAACAATCTACTATTGTCTTTAATATCACAAAAATTTCAGATCGTCCCTGGTGGCTTAGTGGTAGTTCGTCTGGCCTGTCTCTATTAACGTTTGGGTTCAAATCACGTTGAACTCATATTTTGTAGCGGACTCACAATATTTTTTTCCCTTTATATAATCTGGCTATTTTTTACTCTTTTTATAGTTCTATGTGAGAAATCGCTTTGCAAGTAGTATAAAATATTGCTATGTTGAACCTGGCCCGAAGAGATCCAGCTAATCATTCTCTGTTGATTTCATATTGAATTCTTTCACCGCGTTCACCGCCATTCACCGCATAATAGTCTCCTACACCGCGTGAGATAAGCAGGTCACAACAATCTACTATTGTCTTTAATTTCACAAAAATTTCAGATCGTCCCTGGTGGCTTAGTGGTAGTTCGTCTGGCCTGTCTCTATTAACGTTTGGGTTCAAATCACGTTGAACTCATATTTTGTAGCAGACTCACAAATTTTTTTCCTTTTAATCTTTATATAATCTGGCTATTTTTTACTCTTTTTATATTTCTATGTGAGAAATTGCTTTACAAGGAGAAAAAAATATTGCTATGTTGAACCTGGCCTGAAGAGATCCAGCTAATCATTCTGTGTTGATTTCATATTGAATTCTTTCACCGCGTTCACCGCCATTCACCGCATAATAGTCTCCTACACCGCATGAGATAAGCAGGTCACAACAATTTACTGTTGTCTTTAATTTCACAAAAATTGCAGATCGTCCCTGGTGGCTTAGTGGTAGTTCGTCTGCCCTGTCTCGATTAACGTTTGGGTTCAAATCCCGTTGAACTCATATTTTGTAGCGGACTCTCAATATTTTTTTTCCTCTATTTATTGTTGCTATTTTTTATACTTTTTATACTTCTATGTGAGAAATCGCTTTGCAAGTAGCATAAAATATTGCTATTTTGAACTTGGCCCAAAGAGATCCAGCTAATAATTCTGTGTTGATTTCATATTGAATTCTTTCACGGCGTTCACCACCATTCACCGCATAATAGTCTCGTACACCGCATGAGATAAGCAGGTCACAACAATCTACTATTGTCTTTAATTTCACAAAAATTTCAGATCGTCCCTGGTGGCTTAGTGGTAGTTCCTCTGGCCTGTCTCTATTAACGTTTGTGTTCAAATCACGTTGAACTCATATTTTGTAGCGGACTCACAATATTTTTTTTCCCTTTATATAATCAGGCTATTTTTTACTCTTTTTATAGTTCTATGTGAGATATCGCTTTGCAAGTAGTATAAAATATTGCTATGTTGAACCTGGCCCGAAGAGATCCAGCTAATCATTCCGTGTTGATTTCATATTGAATTCTTTCACCGCGTTCACCGCCATTCACCGCATAATAGTCTCCTACACCGCATGAGATAAGCAGGTCACAACAATCTACTATTGTCTTTAATTTCACAAAAATTTCAGATCGTCCCTGTTGGCTTAGTGGTAGTTCGTCTGGCCTGTCTCTATTAACGTTTGGGTTCAAATCACGTTGAACTCATATTTTGTAGCGGACTCACAATATTTTTTTCCCTTTATATAATCTGGCTATTTTTTACTCTTTTTATAGTTCTATGTGAGAAATCGCTTTGGAAGTAGTATAAAATATTGCTATGTTGAACCTGGCCCGAAGAGATCCAGCTAATCATTCTCTGTTGACTTCATATTGAATTCTTTCACCGCGTTCACCGCCATTCACCGCATAATAGTCTCCTACACCGCATGAGATAAGCAGGTCACAACAATTTACTATTGTCTTTAATTTCACAAAAATTTCAGATCGTCCCTGGTAGCTTAGTGGTAGTTCGTCTGGCCTGTCTCTATTAACGTTTGGGTTCAAATCCCGTTGAACTCATATTTTGTAGCGGACTCTCAATATTTTTCTTCCCTTTATATAATCTGGCTATTTTTTACTCTTTTTATAGTTCTATGTGAGAAATCGCTTTGCAAGTAGTATAAAATATTGCTATGTTGAACCTAGCCCGAAGAGATCCAGCTAATCATTCTGTGTTGATTTCATATTGAATTTTTTCACCGCGTTCACCGCCATTCACCGCATAATAGTCTCCTACACCGTATGAGATAAGCAGGTCACAACAATCTACTATTGTCTTTAATTTCACAAAAATTTCAGATCGTCCCTGGTGGCTTAGTGGTAGTTCGTTTGGCCTATCTCGATAAACGTTTGAGTTCAAATCACGCTGAACTCATATTTTGTAGCAGACTCACAATTTTTTTTCCCTTTAATCTTTATATAATCTGGCTATTTTTTACTCTTTTTATATTTCTATGTGAGAAATTGCTTTACAAGCAGAAAAAAATATTGCTATGTTGAACCTGGCCCGAAGAGATCCAGCTAATCATTCTGTGTTGATTTCATATTGAATTCTTTCACCGCGTTCACCGCCATTCACCGCATAATAGTCTCCTACACCGCATGAGATAAGCAGGTCACAACAATCTACTATTGTCTTTAATTTCACAAAAAATTCAGATCGTCCCTGGTGGCTTAGTGGTAGGTCGTTTGGCCTGTCTCTATTAACGTTTGGGTTCAAATCACGTTGAACTCATATTTTGTAGCGGACTCACAAGATTTTTTTTCCTTTATTTATTCTTGCTATTTTTTATACTTTTTATAGTTCTATGTGAGAAATCGCTTTGCAAGAAGTATAAAATATTGCTATGTTGAACCTGCCCAAAGAGATCCAGCTAATCATTCTGTGTTGATTTCATATTGAATTCTTTCACCGCGTTCACCGCCATTCACCGCATAATAGTCTCCTACACCGCATGAGATAAGCAGGTCACAACAATCTAGTATTGTCTTTAATTTCACAAAAATTTCAGATCGTCCCTGGTGGCTTAGTGGTAGTTCGTCTGGCCTGTCTCTATTAACGTTTGGGTTCAAATCACGTTGAACTCATATTTTGTAGCGGACTCTCAATATTTTTTTTCCTTTATTTATTCTTGCTATTTTTTATACTTTTTATACTTCTATGTGAGAAAACGCTTTGCAAGTAGTATAAAATATTGCTATTTTGAACTTGGCCCGAAGAGATCCAGCTAATCATTCTGTGTTGATTTCATATTCAATTCTTTCACCGCGTTCACCGCCATTCACCGCATAATAGTCTCCTACACCGCATGAGATAAGCAGGTCACAACAATCTACTATTGCCTTTAATTTCACCAAAATTTCAGATCGTCCCTGGTGGCTTAGTGGTAGTTCGTCTGGCCTGTCTCTATTAACGTTTGGGTTCAAATCACGTTGAACTCATATTTTGTAGCGGACTCACAATATTTTTTTTCCCTTTATATAATCTGGCTATTTTTTACTCTTTTTATAGTTCTATGTGAGAAATCGCTTTGCTAGTAGTATAAAATATTGCTATGTTGAACCTGGCCCGAAGAGATCCAGCTAATCATTCTGTGTTGATTTCATATTGAATTCTTTCACCGCGTTCACCGCCATTCACCGCATAATAGTCTCCTACACCGCATGAGATAAGCAGGTCACAACAATCTACTATTGTCTTTAATTTCACAAAAATTTCAGATCGTCCCTGGTGGCTTAGTGGTAGGTCGTTTGGCCTGTCTCTATTAACGTTTGGGTTCAAATCACGTTGAACTCATATTTTGTAGCGGACTCACAATATTTTTTTCCCTTTATATAATCTGGCTATTTTTTACTCTTTTTATAGTTCTATGTGCGAAATCGCTTTGCAAGTAGTATAAAATATTGCTATGTTGAACCTGGCCCGAAGAGATCCAGCTAATCATTCTGTGTTGATTTCATGTTGAATTCTTTCACCGCGTTCACCGCCATTCACCGCATAATAGTCTCCTACACCGCATGAGATAAGCAGGTCACAACAATCTACTATTGTCTTTAATTTCACAAAAATTTCAGATCGTCCCTGGTGGCTTAGTGGTAGGTCGTTTGGCCTGTCTCTATTAACGTTTGGGTTCAAATCCCGTTGAACTCATATTTTGTAGCGGACTCTCAATATTTTTTTTCCTTTATTTATTCTGGCTATTTTTTATACTTTTTATACTTCTATGTGAGAAATCGCTTTGCAAGTAGTATAAAATATTGCTATTTTGAACTTGAGCCGAAGAGATCCAGCTAATCATTCTGTGTTGATTTCATATTGAATTCTTTCACCGCGTTCACCGTCATTCACCGCATAATAGTCTCCTACACCGCATGAGATAAGCAGGTCACAACAATCTACTATTGTCTTTAATTTCACAAAAATTTCAGATCGTCCCTGGTGGCTTAGTGGTAATTCGTCTGGCCTGTCTCTATTAACGTTTGGGTTCAAATCACATTGAACTCATATTTTGTAGCGAACTCACAATATTTTTTTTCTCTTTATATAATCTGGCTATTTTTTACTCTTTTTATAGTTCTATGTGAGAAATCTCTTTTCAAGTAGTATAAAATATTGCTATGTTGAACCTGGCCCGAAGAGATCCAGCTAATCATTCTGTGTTGATTTCATATTGAATTCTTTCACCGCGTTCACCGCCATTCACCGCATAATAGTCTCCTACACCGCATGAGATAAGCAGGTCACAACAATCTACTATTGTCTTTAATTTCACAAAAATTTCAGATCGTCCTTGGTGGCTTAGTGGTAGTTCGTCTGGCCTGTCTCTATTAACGTTTGGGTTCAAATCCCGTTGAACTCATATTTTGTAGCGGACTCTCAATATTTTTCTTCCCTTTATATAATCTGGCTATTTTTTACTCTTTTTATAGTTCTATGTGAGAAATCGCTTTGCAAGTAGTATAAAATATTGCTATGTTGAACCTGGTCCGAAGAGATCCAGCTAATCATTCTGTGTTGATTTCATATTGAATTCTTTCACCGCGTTCACCGCCATTCACCGCATAATAGTCTCCTACAACGCATGAGATAAGCAGGTCACAACAATCTACTATTGCCTTTAATTTCACCAAAATTTCAGATCGTCCCTGGTGGCTTAATGGTAGTTCGTCTGGCCAGTCTCTATTAACGTTTGGGTTCAAATCACGCTGAACTCATATTTTGTAGCGGACTCTCAATATTTTTTTTCCCTTTATTTATTCTTGCTATTTTTTATACTTTTTATACTTCTATGTGAGAAAACGCTTTGCAAGTAGTATAAAATATTGCTATTTTGAACTTGGCCCTATTTTCAACTTGGCCTGATTTTATTATGACTTGGTACCCGGGCAAACAAAACTCTCTGACTTTCAATGGAAAGAAAGGCAAATCTTTCAAGGAATTTCTATAGTGAGCGTATTAGACACAAATTGCGTTATTAAGCAAACAAATACGACCTCGGATAGTTTAATCCAAACAACTACAAAAATGTCGGTCGAAGGCGAACATATCGTTGGTAATGGCCGTGTGTTCGAGGACATGGCCCCTTTAACTCACAATTGTTCGTACAATACTCAAGCCAAAGATATGGGGTTTGAATCGATTGCTGACACTTCGTCACTCGAAGAACTTGAGGACTTCATTGATAGCGCATATTATATTGCGAATGTCGCAGCCACGCCAAATTTTGCTCAGACAGCCAGCTTTTCTACACCATTTCAACAACGAGCTGATGATATCCCGACTATAGCCGAGGCACAACTCCTTACATTTAAAGAAAAAATAGAATCGCAAATAGAAAAATTGTTGACTAAAGTGTCTGAACAAAATCATATTATTGACACAAATAAACAAGAGCTGTGCCGATTAGGAAATGAGAATTTGAATTTAAAGTCACGCATTACCGACCTAGAGGAGAAAATGATGATTAAAGACTCGGCTTCCATAACCTTTTCAAGTCCCTCAAAGCCATCTTTACAAGATAAGAAGTCCTTTAACAGTCCTGACAATGTAAATCCCCAACACGATGGATCAACTAAAATAAATCACCCATCTGGTGCATTATCAACCCCAGTTAATGTAGATAACCTGCCCGCTGAGGAAAGTTTCCCTACAGTTATCATTGAAATAAAGAACAATGCCCTATTATCCACACAACAATCTAAGACTACAATCGACTCCTTCAAAAAAGATTACTCATTAAGCCTGAACCGCGAGCCTTTTCAGGCTAAGAATGTTTTAAACTATTTGCCCTTATGCGAAGATCTAAGTATAATCGAAGATGTTTCTGCAAACCTCACTTTTGACGAAAATGAATTAGATCAGCGTGAGCAGGATTTATCCGATGGGTGTCAACATTTCAAGCAACGTGGGAAGCAAGGCATATGTAGGAATTGCGACCGATCCTATGCAAAAACCGTGTTAAGCCTTGATGCCCTTAACCCTGACCAGGTGAATCCCCAATCGGATAGGTCAATCAGCGAGTCAAATCTAAAGCATTCTTCGTTCCCTCATCTTCCAGCCCCGAGACCCTCAAGTCTTAGACACGGTCAAGTTACAAACCCCTTAGGGTTTCGAAGGCACCATTGTAGCCGGTATCCTTTTTTAAAACGTTGTCGTGTCATTCCTTCGTATCGGACAGCCCACCGCCACCACTCTCTAGAGTGGTTGGCCCATCTCCACACAGTGGCCTGTTTGACGAGTCAGCAGCAGACAATATGATGAAAATACCTGTTAGAATCACTTCACGTCAGAGACCATCACGTCAGAGACCATCACGTCAGAGACTATCATATCAACTAACCATTAATAATTCTTCTAGTGTTAACAATAACTTGCAAAATAGAAATCTTGTTCGTGTTCCTTTGTCCAACCCTGCCTCTCCAAACGCTTCCGCACTCTCGTGGTCATTCACGTCGAAAACCACTAATGATACGGCCTCAGCCCTTTTAACAAAAAAGTCAGATAACAGCCTCAGTACCCTTCCAGGTCTCAAACTGGTCCACCTAAACATCCGTTCTCTGAAAAATAACGCCCATTTTTTAGAATTACGTAAGTTTACCAAATTTAACAAAATTGACGTCCTTACAGTATCAGAGACATGGTTAAATACCTCCGTCACAAACAAGGAAATAGAAATCGAAGGTTATAAGCTACACCGTTTAGACCGACTGCACAAGAAAGGGGGCGGGGTATGTGCTTACATACAAAAAGATATTAAATCTCTTGTACTTAAAGACCTGAGTTATATCTCCGAGACGAATTTCCATCAATTATGGATCAAATTACAGCACAAAAAATCTAAATCACTGTTGGTCTGTGTCTCTTATCGACCCCCAGACAGCCCGCTTGACTGCTTCGAAAAATATTTTAAACCTAATTATGTTCATGCTCTGACGATGGGAAAGTTGATCATTCTTCTTGGAGACCTAAACTGCGATATGCTTAAGCCCACACCTGGATTAGCGTCTTTGATCAAGACGACAAAAGAACTCAACCTTAACCAGTTAATAAAATCACCAACAAGAATTACTGAATCCAGTCAGACCCTCGTCGACGTTATTTTCGTATCCTCGCCAAGACTAGTAGTCAACAGCGGCGTCATAGAAACCTGTATCAGCGATCATTTCCCTGTGTATGTATCACTAAAACTTAAAACCGACAAATCTCCACCAAACTATATCACTACCCGCAGCTACAATAAATACGACCCTGATTTGTTCGCGATCGATCTGGCATCCAACCGTGATTGACTTGTTTCCATTTTCAGAATGGACAATGTTGATGAAAAACTAACCATTTTTAATGAAATATTTTTAAATACATTGGATAAACACGCCCCAGTAAAGACCATAAAAGTACGCGGAAAATCTTGCCCATTTATCACCCCGGAAATAAAAGCATCCATGATCAAAAGAGACCAGCTCCATAGTCTTTTCAGGAAAACACGCGATCATTATGATTGGCTTAATTTCAGAGAGGCCCGCAATTTTACAAAAACCGCACTTGTTAATGCACAGAAAGAATATGTACTGAAGGAAGTTCAGCAACACAGAAACAATACTGGGTCACTTTGGAAGGTAATTAAAGAAAATATAGCGTATAGGGAAAGAGAGTCAGTGGCCTACAGTAAGGAACCGAAATTAGTGGCCGAAGAGTTTAATCATTTCTTTTCCACCATCGGTGTGAATGCAGCAAAGAAAGCCTCAACACTAATACAAGATCCTAGTGTTTATCCAGCTCGGAATCTTTCTGACGTAAATCGCACAGATAACAGCTACCCTGAAGAAAATGATAGATTTAGTTTCCCCCCAGTCTCTTGTTCAGAAATAAGGAACATCATATTAGCTATGCCGTCAAACAAATCACCCGGCAAAGACAAAGTGAGTATGCGTGTCATCAAACACAGCCTACCGGTAATTCTTGGGCCCCTCACCGATATCATTAACTGTTCACTGTCGTCACCTTCGTTCCCTATAGCATGGAAAGAGGCAGAAGTTATCCCTTTGTTAAAGGATGGAAACCACGAGGAAGCATCAAATAACCGCCCACTTTCTCTCCTTACCTTTCTTTCGAAAATTTGTGAAAAAGTCGCCTTGAATCAATTTGGTTCGTATCTAATGAAGAACAAAAAAATTGTCAACCCACCAGAGCGGGAACAAGAAACATCACTCATGCGAAACATTGAATCTTTTGACCGGAGATACTATCCTAAAGGCCATGGATGGGAAATTGGTTACTGCACTGATTCTAATAGATCTATCTAAAGCTTTCGACAGTGTAAATCATACTTTTCTCCTTACAAAACTTAGCAACGTCGGGGCTTCTCCAAGCGTTGTAAAATGGTTTGAGAGTTACTTGACTGGAAGAACTCAATCAGTCAGAATTGGATCAACTGTGTCTACTCCTCTCCCTGTTTCTTATGGTGTACCACAGGGTGCAATTTTATCACCTTTACTTTTTAGTATTTATACTAACGATTTGCCCTCATCAGTCCACCATAGTAAACTTGAATCGTACGTGGACGACTCCAAGATATTACTATCTTTCACTGTGGCTAACGTGGCCTGTTTAAAGCAACAACTTGAGGAAGACTTGTATTTGATTGCAAACAGTTGTTCCGAAAATGAATTGCTTATTAACCCGTGAAAGACCAAATACATGCTGATTGGCACACGGCAAAACCTACAACAACTTCCCGTAGATATGACCATAAACTTCCTCAACGAGACTATTACCCCCGTCTCCTTTGCCAAAGATCTAGGAATGACAATCGACTCTTATTTGACATATGACCAGCACATCACCAACCTGGTTTTCTCATGTATGAATTCCCTGTGCCAAATAAACCGAGTCAAAAAATGTTTCGATAAAGAAGCTTTAACTCTCATCGTCTCGGCACTTGTAATGAACAAAATGTTCTATTGTTCAACGGTTTGGTCAAACACTTCGTCTACCAACATTAAGAAACTACAGTTGGTACAAAATTTTGCATGCAGGATAATAACAAATATTGAAAAGTTCGACCATGTTTCGCCGGGCTTACGCGAACTTAACTGGCTCCCAGTAAAGGAACAATTACTACTAAGAGAGGCTATTATGATGTACAAATGTGTCAATGAACTTGCTCCACATTATTTGAGCGATTTATTCACAAAACGTTCTGACATTCATCAACGAGATACACGTAGCCATGACTCACTGCAAATACCATTGTACAAAACTTCTGCAGGTCAAAGGTCCTTTCATTATAGAGGCGTTACACTCTGGAATGATTTGGACATAAAGTTCAAAAAGTTAGACTCCCTAAAAACTTTCAAAAACGAACTGAAGCGAAGCATGCTAGAACAAATATATAAGTAGATAATTTTACCTTGTTAAACTTTATACAAATGTCTTACCTTTTTACCTTAATTTAAATTCTAGATTCTAAAACTTGTAAATAGAACAACATTTATTTTTTGTAAATCAGTGTTGAAAATCCCTATTTAGGGAACACAATAAAGTATGTATGTATGTATGTATGTGTCTGTCTTACCGTATGGCTTTGTTGAGAAAACTTTACAGGTATGGCAACAATTTATTGTTTTCTTTACTAATGATCTCAACCGAGGAACCCACCATTCCTCTCGAATAACACCCATGGTACTAGCAATTCCCAAATGCAATGTCTGTTCGTGAATATGGCGAATCAGTTTTTCAACAAACAATCCGTTTTCTAAGTAAATTGGTGAATAACCTTGAATCCTTCCAACACATTTCAGGATCTTCGTTTCCTCGTCTTTCTCCAGCCTCCAACCGCTACTCTCAGTGTCTTCTGGAATGTGTCCTTGTACTTTCCTTATCCAGACGTCTCTGGAGTGTGTTATCTCGTTCGTAGTTAACGGGCCCTTTATTATTTCTGTCCCCATCTTTTTTGCTCGACTGTTATGGACAAATCGTAATGCCCAAGCGGTAATTCTTAGAGTGTTTCAATAAGGTTTACGCCTTAGCAAGAGATCCCACTCGTCTTGTTGGTTTTCATTGACGAATGCAACTATTTCCTTGATTGGTTTCGCTTCATCTGTCACCGAGGACGAGCGATGCAACGTCGGCTGGGAAGGCCAACCATGTTCGTTCAGCAGCCACTCAGGACCGTCGAACCAATCTTTGTTCTCCATTTGGTTGAGCGTAGCTCCTCGGCTTCCCGCGTCGGCAACATTCTTCTCTGACGGCACATACTTCCATTGAATCCCGATTTCCTCTGTTATTTCCGCGATCTTTTTCACCCTGTTTGCGACAAACACCTTCCATGATTTTCCAGGGCTTGAAATCCAGTAAAGAGCGACCAGGCTGTCCATCCAGATGGTCACTGATCTGACGGGCAGTCTCTTCAGAGCGTTGACAAGATTCCTGGCTAAGTTTGCTGCCATCTGACCACTTATCAGCTCCAAGCGTGCGATGGATGTGTTACGCTTACAGATTCGAGATTTTGATGTTAGAAACCCTTTCACTGTTCCCGTATCGTGTTCGACAACAGCAATGGTCATTGCAGAGCAAGCCAAATTGCTCGCGTCAGCAAAGAGATGTAAGTGAACAGCCTTCACTTTCCTGCATTCTCGAATCACGCTCCTCGGTATTCGTACGTTGCGAAGTTGTCTAGTCCATTTTAACCAATCCTTGGCTAGCACCGTAGATACTTCTGAATCCCAGTTTTGATTTTCATCACATGCTTCGCGATAGATGTGTTTACCTTCCACAACTGTTGGGGATATAATTCCGAGCGGATCGTAAATACCAGCCAAATGACTCAAAATAGATTTCTTTGTAATTCACTGTCCGTTATCTCGTTCAGGAACTTGGATCTCTAATACGTCATCTTGTTTATGCCATGTCAAACCCAGTATCTTTCCAGGATCGGGCATGTCCGCACTCTCTAGCGAATGAACATTTGACTCCCACTTATGAACAGGAAACTTCCCCTCCTCCATGATGGTTGTAGCTTCGTGCTTAAATTCCTTCAACTCTTCGACACTGTCCCCAGTCTTCATTAAGTTATCTACATACGTGTTCTCCGTAAGTGTCAACAGAGTATCAGTATGGTTCTCCTGTGGTTGGTTATCATAATGGTGTTGCAAGGTGGCTCCGAGAAGAAAGGGGCTCGCTTCTGCGCCAAAGGGTATTCTGGTAAATCTGAATTGCTCTTCCGTTCCGTCTATCAATTCAAATACAAATCGAAAGGCATCTCTGTCCTCTGGTTTCAATCCGACTTGAAGGAATGCCTGTTGAATGTCACCAATTAACAAATTCGGAGCCATTCGAGCTCTTATCAATATGTCCCACAGCAACGGCTGTAGTGGAGGGCCCTTATACATGCACTCATTAACACTTCGAGCGAGTGGGTTTGGCTTCGCGCTGGCATCAAACACCATTCGGACCTTTGTGGTTGTGGCAGAAGATTTTACCACTGGTTTATGTGGCATATAAAACACACGACTTCCGGTCGGTTCCCCTGGGACCCTCTCGATGATTCCTTTCTCAAGCTGTTGGGCTACGATGTTCCGGTATTCTGTTTTCAAACCGAGGTCTTGATTGAGTTTCTTTGTGACCGAACGCAGGCGTTTCTTGCTCTGTATCTCATTTGTCTCTGTAAGTTGAGCACCAGGTATCCACGGAACGTTGACTTGGTACCGTCCTTCCTTGTCTCGAACAATGGTCTCGTTGAATTCGGTGTAAACATCCAATTGATCGTCTTCTCCCCGGTCTTCTACACCAAGCACATCAAGACTATACAACATCTGGTAGTCGCTCACATCTCTGCAATACATGCACTCATCGTTAACAAGGTCCCCGCCATGTATTATCCAACCAAATGTTGTTCCTTCGACCACTGGCTCTCCTGGTTTCCCTTTGTAGATCTCCTCGGTTTTCATTCGAGAAAACGTGTTATCCCCAACTATAAGATGTATTGGGTATTTGTGATCCGGCTGCATGTAGAACCGTTTGTCCCTGGTATGCTCAAACTCCCGCTTCAGCTCGTTCATGTCTGGTCGCTTAATGGTAGTAAAGTTAGGCATTTTGGTCCCAGTAATCTCAATTCTCTCTTTGGCGGTTCCATCAAGTGAGGCCATTTCAACATTGAAAATGGGCATGGACTGTCGTTTCGACCCACTCACAGTGACAATATGACGAGTTTCGTGGTGTACAGGAGATAATTTCAGTTTTGCTATGGCATCTTGAGAGATAAAGTTTCTCCCTGACCCTGTGTCTAGATATGCCCACAATGTCACGCCTTGTATGTTCACAGGAATTATGGGTGGTAATGTGGTATCTGAGGGGGTATACCCAGTTAGGATGGGACCTTTCTTCCCGTCACACAGACTTGTATGGTGTTTCCCTTTGCATTTGAAACAACTCCCCCCATGGCAATTATTCGCTCGATGGCCAGATTGACCACAATTATAGCACAGTTTATTGTTCGTAAAGAACTTCCGGCGACTATCTAAATCCTTAATATCTTCACAACTGTCCGAGTAATGCTCACCTTTGCAAAAGACACATTTGGGGCTCTTCGGTTTTCCTCCACTCGCCTTTCCAGCAAACCAGTTCCGTTCTCTTCTCGATGACTCTTCGCTATGCTTCGAATCGTTCGTCGTTTTATTTCTAAGTAACCACTTCTGCAGGTTATCCAGTAAATCCTTCAAGCTCCAGTCCTCCCATTTGTCGTCAGTTCGTACCAGGTCTGGTTTAATATGTGGAAGTTTGTTCAATGTCGTCATCACAAAAGCTTTGAGAGGCCCATCCTCTCCCAAAGTATGCAGAGCGTCGAAACTCTTACTCAACCTTTCGTAAAATTCTTGGATTTTCGTATAGTTAGAACCTTTGACTACAGGTAACCCAATAATTTCCTCCATATGTGCATTTACAACTTGTTTGGTCTGTCCGTATTCTGCTTTGAGCCTTTTCCACGCTGTTTCATATCCCTCGGTACTTGGTTTAAGATTTGCCAACCGGTCTCTGACCTTGGGGTTCACCAGTTCGAGCAAATAGCCGAATTTCTCTTCGTTCGAAATAGGTTTCTTGTCAATTTGGGTCAAGAAAATGTTCTCGAAACGAATCCAATCTACAACAGTTCCCTTGAAAGGGGTTATCTTCAATTTTGGCAATTTGGCACTAGTAGACTTTGCTTCCCTTTCTAGCTCCATACGTTTCTCAGTAATTTCCAACTCGGCTTGCAGTTTTTGTTCCCATAATTTTCGTTCACGTTCGTGTCTCTCAACGATTGCTGCCTCCTCTAGTTGTTGTTTAGCTTCCCACTTTCGCCGTTCAGATTCTTCTTGGGTTCGTCGCTCCCTTGACTCTAAAAAGTCAGAAAGTTTCTCCTTGTCCAGCAATAATTCTGCATATTTCGCCTTGATATCCTTTTTCCACTGACGAACAGTTCTAGGTGAAATACCACTGTCGATTTTAAACTCTTCTAGCTGTGAAATAAGCTCCGAAAGTTTGCTCATAATCTTGGATGTTTGTTTAACCGTTGTTTTTATTTCCTCGACGTCATTCGTTCGAATCAATTCGTCTGTCCCTTCCAAATTATTTTCTATTCTATCGAAGTTTCCGTACGCTCGGTGTCTTCTAAACCCTCTACTTGTTCGTTGCTTTCGTCTCCCATCATGTCCGTTATATTTTTCCACAATAGTATCACTGAATTCGAGATTTAATACGATAAACAAATATTGGCGCCAAAATATCACAAAATATATACGTACTTCGTTGTTGATTTCGCTCGTTTTTCTTCGTAAAAATCTTGGTCACGGCACCAAATGTACCGACCCGTAACTCGGCACACACTCACACACAAGTAAAAAATGATATAATAAATAAGAACAAAGTAAAATAAAATACAAAATTCCGACCAAACTCTCTCGTCTCAAACGTTTGTTGTTCGTATTCGCTCACATGTTCTCTGTCCTTTTCCCCTCCCCCCCGGTACTGTCAATCATCCCGCCCGCGAATAGGCAGAATACCTAAATTTGGGTCACAGGCATTCTTGACCGAATTATGTTATAATCTTCTGAATTTTGTAAATCTCACCCCAAAATGGCGTTTCAGAGGCTCTGAATTTCAAAATGTTCCCTGGGGAGCATGCCCCTCCTACAGTGGAGCGGACCCCCCCTACATTGTTTGAGCCTTCGGCACCCAACTTGTCCCCCCCCCCCACACTTTGGATATCCTGACTACGCCACTGTTAAATATTTCTAATTGTTAGTTTAATATTTTCGTAATATAAGCTTTAGCAATAGCTTGTAACTAGGGCGTGGTTTGTTTGTGGCCTTATTAATTATTCATGAATTTTACAACAATGGTACTAAACCACAAAGTTAATTGCACCATGTGGTGCCAGAGGATGTGGTGCCGAGCTGAGATTTCGAGAAAATGGAGAGTCAGAAAATGGAGAGTATGGCCTAATTTTTATGGTAGTAGCATCAATGGATGATTCCAGCTATAGACTAAATTTTGATCTAGGCAAGAAGAACAAAATCCATCACCACAGCTAGCAAGAGCATGTTAAAATTAGTAAAATTTCATGGAAAATATAGCCCTACGAAATTTGCAAATTTTGTTTCGAGTCACGGAAAGGTAACTTTCCTAAAACATTGCTATTGTCTGTTTTCCTAAAACATTGCTATTGTCTGGATTCATAGACAATATGTCAATAGCAGCGTGCATGGAAGAACCTCTGCCCTCTGCTACCCATGCAGGGTAGACGTGCAATAGCTTTTTAAATCATAGCAAAACCCAAAATACCACTCCAGATATATTCTGTCAAATTAAAATCTTTAATTTAATTAAACTTATATGCTATATTTGAATTATTCGTAGTGTAAAATAACACAAAATATAATCTAAAAATATAAAAATTTAACCATACAAAACATTTAAACTACTAAAACGTACAATAATAGCCATACTTTATACTATACTGGGGGATGCTGTTGTAAAAGATTTATATCTCAACTTTACGTTGTTTTAGTATACAATGATTACAATTCAGTTGTAGAAGAAAAATAACTATAATCATGTACTTCAATTATTAAAGGGTGCCCAGTTCAGCAGCCTCGTCGTCTCCTGCAAAAAGGGCGTCATTCGGGTCTGTGTTGTCACCTGAAACACAATCATAAAAACACAATCATAATAAACTGCATTGAAATACATGGATTGATGGATTTCAAGTTTAGTAGACAATTCCCATTATAGACTAATTTTAAAATTAGTCTATAAAAATGAGTAAAATTGCAAAGTTTGGTTGCGAAATGTTGTAAAATGCGGAAAATATAGCCTTGCAAAGTTTGCAAATTTTGTAACTTTTGCATTGCGTGCGGAAATTGCTACCATTTTCGGGCCAAATGTGGTAGCAATTTCCGCATGCAATATAAAAGTAGCCCATACAAAATTTGCGAACTTTACAATTTTACTCATTTTAGTATATGCTCTTTCCGGGAATATACTTTTTTATCAAGATAAAAAATTAGTCTATAATGAGAATTGTCTAATAGACAATTCCCATTATAGACTATAGTTTTTTATCTTGGCAAAAAAATATATTCTCGGAAAGAGCATACTTTAAAAGATTTCTGTTATAAAGGTCAGTCTATAAAGATTTCTGTTATAAAGGTCTTTATCACTACATCAGATTTAAGAGTTAATCTTGAACGGTCTGTGCCAGTGCAGGTAGTGCCAATAATATAATAAAACTTTTGTTGATATAGAGATACAACACCAGAAAAATAAAAGCAGGGGAAGTTAGTAGGGCCTTCGCTCGAAACGTCGAAGTTCTTCTTGTATTTTTCAGGTAGTTGTATCCCTACTAACCGAAGTTTTGATTTAAGAGTTAAGATGCATGCCTTGTTTTGCGTTATAAAGAAATTGATAACAGATTGTATACTTACGGCAACTAACGCGCCATGCTTCTTTCTTTGATCCTTCAATAACTTGATTAAAGCGATCAACACACCAACAGTAGTTCTCACGACATTGACGAGGTTTGTAGTATCCATCTTCATCACAATCAGGCTTATATCTTCCAAGTATTGGTCGTGCAGCAAGATACTTCTTCCTTTCCTGGCTACATGGTGGTTCTATTTGTACAAAACATAAAGTATTATTTTAGCCAGTGTCACAGCAGATAGTTTCCCCTCCCCGAAGATGGTGTAGGCCTCAGGGCCCAGGACACTATCAGCCAGCAAATTGTTTCCCCCATAATATATATGTAGTCTGTGAATCTAATCTGATCTATGAATCTTGCAGATCAGAGGGATCTCTGCAATATATTAGAGAACTAACTTGCAGATCATAAGGGGATACCTTTGACTTCTCGTCCCACATCCAACATTCAGGCATTAGTATTTAGCTATTCCATAATTACTTACCAACATGCATGAAAGAAGCGCATATTTCATTGAGACTCAATTTGTGATCTTTATTCAAGTCAGATTTTTCAAAGAATTTTCGCATGCAATGTTCATCAGGATTTCCTTCAACCTCAGCGCGTTCATCTTTGTCCAAAACTAAATCTTTGTTCGTATCAAACTTCCTAAAGAACCATGCCAGTGCTGGTGAATGACAAACTAGAAGGTGGAAAACAAAACAGAAAACTATCATGCACAGCCACTACCCGGAATCTAGCTTAGCAATGTTAGAAACCCCAACATTATATTTACTCAATAAGTAAGTCAAGTAAGTTTGGAACATGTTAATTAAACTATAAAGTTTAAATCGGAATAATCGGATTGTACTTGAAAAAAGATATGAAACAATTTAAACTGATGGAAAATGAGTAGGATCTCTTTACTTACTACGTTTACAATCTTTTATTAATCCTTAATTTCCTACTTTAAATGGTTGGAAAATGAATATTTCGGAATATGAATTTGCTAATGGATCATGGCTTGATGGGCATTGCATACCCGTTCAATATGCAAAGTTCCAATTTAACCCCTATTTATTTTTTTATTTTAAAAACGATGTTAATGGCACAGTTTTTAAAATATAGTCTCCAAATATTTTGCTTAGCTACTAATTTTGACCTGTTCTTTTCATTTCTGTTTTTTATAGAGGGCTGAACGTCTGTTCGACTGTTCAAATACAAACATATGATGTATGAAGACAAAGAGTGTAAAAGATGCAAATATCACAATAGACCCCCATCAGTGCAATAGACCTTATGCATAATGGCGTCACAAAGCCTGAAGCCCGCGAGGAATGCTGGTCTTAATAGTCAACGCCTGGGAAAATTAAACAATTCAAAATGGCCACTATCGAAATTTTCCCGGGCGATGACTACTAAGACCAGCATTCCTCGCGGGCATCAAGCCTTGTGACGTCATTATGCATAAGGTCTACTGAGATATTAAAAAGAACTGCGTTATACTGACGTCGATAAGTATTATTTTAATGACATGGGGTGACATGTCAATTTAATACGTTAATTGATTGGTTTGTCACATCATTATTCACCAGTTTCAAGATGTTGCATAGAAACTGTACAATTTTTATCACCAGAAGCAGAAGTACCTACCAGTAGTCTCGAAATCCATTTCATCAAGCTTGCCATTTTTCTTTAGGTCTTCTGACTTCAAAATATGGAACCAATCTAAGAGCCGTTGTGGCAGCATTTGCTCGTCATCCCTATAGCAGCCCTCTAAAGATAGCAAAGCCAAATTTATGAGCTACCGTGATCCAGACAAGTGGTGGATCTCACGAAGTGTTCGAGATAGCGAAAGTTTCGTGATAACCGAGTTCGAGATAGCCATATAGTGAATTACTATAAATATATTACGATTATGAAGGGGATTGACGTTCTGAGATAAAGCGAGATCGAGATAAATCGACATTCGAGACAGCAAGATTCTACTATCTATTTTTTTATTCCCAATTCCACACATATAGAGGCACACTAAAAACGATCCAGAAAGTGGTAAAATGTTTTTATAAAACAATCTGGGAAATACTATTTGGTACAAATTAACTCAACGTCTCACTGGCACAGACATTGGTAAATGACACGTAATGACGTCATGTGCAAAGGAAAAGTAACCATGTTTTTAACAGTTTTTCTATTATCATAAGGCCCCCACAGGTACAACTGTTTTACGCATGCGCTATGTTTTCCCCGATTTCTGCACACAAGAGGGATTTACGTTTCTGTTAATTATATTGTTAATACCCTCTGAAATTCACGAATAAGAAGTTAGCACCCACCATATACTAATAGCACATATTAATATGAATGTGTATCCAACGCTTATATGGATATTTCATAAAATAAACATTTCTTTTAACTTTTAATTCCAAGCCCAGGAAATTCCAGCTGTTGAGAGGGAGGAGGGGCTCAACAGGTGGAATCGAGCCTAAGGAAAATGTGAAATATGATTACTTAAAGATGAAATATGATTGATTACTCACGACAGGTATTCGAAATTTCTCAAATGAAAACATAAACCTTCAGCCTTCATTAATAGAAATAACCAAAATTACAATTTCTTCCAACGTACAATCAGTATCCCGCATTGTATGTCAACATTTTAAAAACTCATTATTCTCAGCAGGCGTTGCTCTCGCCCACCTTTTAACATTACAAGGGCTTTTTAGGGCCCATTTTATCTGAATGTTAGGGATACACCGGAAAATACCCAGGTGTGCCACGCCCATACGGCCAAGCCGCCCCCGAATTCCGATGCACTGAAATGAGTTTCGAAGATGTGTTGCGTTAAAAATAGTCAAAGAGATAAAAATAAGTTTAGTAATTTGACTTCGGATAATGGTTCGTCCACCATTAGCCCTTGTACTGTAATAAAAAGTTAAAAAATACCTTTTCGAGGGTAGGGAATTTTTACATACGATTTCAATTATATTCCGTTCTTTATAATTGGCATCGCTAGTTATGTTTTATCTAAATCACCACAAGTCAGGATGAACGAATACTTTTCTATTTGGGAGTAATAATTCCTCCCGCCCGCATTTTCGCCACCTTTATTACACCTTAATTAATCCAAAATAAACCCCTTTTTTAAATATTTGCATGAGAAGCAATATGTAAAAAACGCATAAAACAATTGAAATAGCGGATTCAAAAAGCGCAGTGAGGTCAAGGAGGTATTAAGATATCAAAGGGTTTAAAATATGCTGTGCCTTCGTGGACACGCATCATCTTAACACGCATAAGCCCACGTTCTCCTTGGTAATATATTCTTTACTTCTAATTAACACAATAATCTCGATGTTTGGTGGGTTTCAATGGACATACTTCTCTCTTTCCATGATTGTCTGCCTGGCGTTTTCATGCCATTTCGCATCGCCCTCTGCACCCACTTCCTTAGGTATGCATAGCGGCTCTTCAAAGACGCTTCTGATGCAACCTATAAATATGATAGAACAGAATAATCACTGATTGATAGAGATTATCAACTACAAGGCCTAGCACCCGTAATATAATAACTTTGGTGGTTCTATAGCCTGCGTGCACGCAGGCTAGTGGTTCTACGTCATTATAATCGAATCCGCGCAATGCTGTGCGTGAAAAATTTTAGCTTGTCACACACCGCTGGGAGCCGCGCTGCAGCCATCCGCCGCAACAACAAATTTCTCACGGTCTGATGAACTGAATCATTTATATAGGATATATAATATTTATGGATCAATAAAATAAACAATACTATAAATTTTATGAGAAACACGTATTGGAATGAATTATGGGAAGGAATCCGAAGGATTATACCACTTTATATATACCACACACGAATTGATACTAATAGTCTTCCTCCTTAGAAAAATGCAAACAAACATTTTAGCTAGAAGTGTATCACATTTCGTATATTTAATAATCCAACGTGATAAAAACACGATAATGCAGGGGCAGGTCTAGTTTGGTAGAATGTCTAATTGTATTAAGATACTTCGTTTTAACTCATCAAGTCGCATTGCATCCAAATGCGCCCGATCTTATATTATTTTACTCTGTCCAACCGACCAACGCCAGATGATTTTACACGTCAAGGAGAGAGCATGCACTGGCGCTCATTAGGTTAATGTAACATCACTAACATGTTAGTGGATTTTGACACTTTCAGGCTTCACTGAAAATGAGTATGCCAGTAATGAATAATTTTTGCGTGCAATGATTCCTTTGAGGAATCATGATCATATTCAAATCAGAGTCTAACGAGATATTTTTCAATACAAATGCGCGATTCCGGTGTAGGTAGTATTCAACCGTAAAGTAAACTGTCTTCGTTTTGGTCGTAATCGAGGTCGTAATCATCTGGAACTGAAAGAGATAAAAAACTTCGATGTATTGAGCTGATGCCCATGTCTGGAAATTACTTCGCATACACGCACTTTTTCAGCAATGATATGGTTGTGTCACAAGTCCGGTGATGAATACGTCATATGGTGTTTCACATTTCCCAGACAGGTGTGGTGTTCAAAAAGAGTATTACAACAAAGATAAATAAATATTTGAAGCAGCATACCCATTCCGTTCCTGTAGGGATCTGATTAGGATTAAAAATCATCCGATCATGCAATGTAAAAAATCCGGCAAATTAAATTGCTGCACGGTATGGCAAGGTTGGACTGTGTCTTATGGTACTGGTATGGTACTGGCGACCATATAACATTGGAATCGCGCTCGAGATGCAAATCACTAAAATTTAACTCCGCAACACAACAAGAATTTAAAAATAATTTAGGAAAAAAAAGCGATATAATTGAACAATAATCCATGAAAAAAAAACACATAAAAAGTCGAGAATTGTGGCATCATAAAATCACAATAAAAGTAAAGAAATCAAGACTGAGAAAAGGTAAATAAACCCAGAAAAATTCTTGTTCAATTGTACCTAATCCTAATTGAAGTTGTGGATATTTATGTCGACAAGACGTTTTATAGCAGTGCAATTAAGGATGCGAACATGCTGTAACATACAGGAACTAATATTATAACTAATTGCCCTGGTCTCCTCAATAACTGACGACCTGCCTAATTATTCATCAAAGGAATTTTAGGCTTGTACTTCGGTAGATCTAGTGCATTTGACTGGGGCGCAGCAATGTTTGAGCAGCGATAAATTTATTTACCGTCAGTGACAATCAGTCTTACAGAAGAGTGGAATTAATAACGTAATAGATTTTAGAATATTTTCCTTCACATGAAGATTGACCGAAATTTCAGTTTCAAATTTCTAAACCAGGAAATAATATGCATAAATTCTAAGACAGATCACGCACCCAAAATAACCATTACTGTGAAGGGTGGGACATCGTCACCAATTGCCAAATGGCAAATAATCAAAATTTAATAGCCCTTGGCGACGTTTGAATAGTAAATTCCGAAGACATTAAAAAATATGATGACATCAGACATCTGGTCCAACAAACTGATATAACATGTGAGGCAGGATGTGAAGTTTCCCGTTTCTGACGTATTTGAAAAGACACATTTGTAAATTTATAACATTTTTCAACTTAAAAATCATAGACTAATGGGCAAAATAAAAAGAGGTCAACTGGTCAAGTCAAAGTCATAACTAAAAATTCAAGCGATGATTTCAATCTCTCTAGGAGTCTGATACACGATACCTTTATCTTGGCACGCACATTTTGTTAAACTGGAACCCTGCTGTTCAACTGTCTGTTAAACTCGCGCTCCAAAGTAACATATCTATTGGCAGATGTCTTCGCACAAACTAATACCATAAAACATGTCACCTACACGCGAATTTATTGCCCATCTGCTGATATTCAAATCAATAGACCCGTTACATAAAATTATAGAAATGGCATACTGCATGAGCATCACGTAGGGTTAAAAATTTAATAAAAGGATAAAGAGTCGCTCAGGGTATTATTTGGATAAAATAAATAAATAATAGACTCGCTGCCGCAATAAGCCATTTTCATATATTTGTTGTATACTCGCAATTCGCAAATACTCACAAATAAAAACTTTTTTTGTTATATTTAACAGAAAATCTTTAGAAAAAACTGTATTTGGCATTGTACCAAGGAATTTTAATCATCATAATATTTGTTGACGTCTGATGAAATGTCCTAAATATTAGTTCTGATTTATCTATTGTATTTTTATAAGCCAACGGTTATTCTGTGTTCATAATACCATATAAAAACGTCTCTGGAACTTTTACATTTGATATTTTACAGCATGCGATAGAATTTAGTGCGTCATATTTAACCCCTTCGTCTGCAGTGCGCAAATGGCAACAAAGATTCGCACATTACAAGAAATACACTTCTTCTCAATAAAGAACACCAACTAGCGCATTCTTATATAATAAATATTTGGTAACGCGTTCTATGTAATATAAAAACTGTCATGATTACCTTCTCTTGCGCGCAGACATACGTGAACAACGCAACAAAGCCTACGAGCACAGCGACTGAAACTTTCATCTGAAACAAATCGTTAAATAGAAAGTTAGACGTTAGTGCGTAATACTATATCACACAAAGTATTTCACACTTTACCTTCATTAAGTATTCTGACAATATGTCGCTAAGGAAGAATAGGTTGAAAGACACAAAGTGAAACGAACAATTGTTATTTGTTCCGTCACTGTACGTTTTGTCTTGAATGTCTTCTAAACTGTCAACTCGAGTCCAGGACCAAACAGGTTATACAAACATACCAAGCATTATAGGATCACAGCTGGGATCACAGCGTGATACTGATCTGTGGAATCCTATGGTGGAATACTGCATGCAGGAGTGTTTTGTGGCATTTCCGTTCTTTAAAATCTTTGCGGGCGGCGGCGAAACACTACTTCGTCGAACACAGTTTATTATGGAATACTAACGATACTGCTGCCTTGCATTTGACGGCATTTATCACCTTTTGACATTTAAGACAAACATTTGGTTGAAAAGTTATGTGGTTTGACCATGGCATAATTAATGAGAAATAATTATATATTTTCTATGGAACGATATATATATAATCCTCAATCGTGATCACTCAGCTACGGCACTTACAACTTCAGTGTGACATTTCCAGAAGAAAAATTACAAATACAGATACGGGATTCGAGCCTGCGCCCATAATATTCATGCGCAAAGTTTCGAGAAACCGTTATTTTAATTTTCCATCAATACTCCTCACCATCTTTCGACATTTCCTGGAAAAAAATTAATACTACAAAAACGGGGTTCGAACCTGGGCCTACATTTATAATATTCATGTGCAAATCAGCGCAACTTTTCGACCAGAAAACTATATTGAGTTATGTGATTTGCGGATCATGACCGATTCTCAATGAGAAATCATTATTTTTTTTCAACGATAATCTTCAATGGTGATATCACTCACACTATAAACTGCGGCACTCGAGACCTGCCTCGTCCCTCGTCGCTTCAGTTGGGAATAGAGATCAGTGGAAAAACAATGACATGAGGGACTGTGGAAGAGTCAGATTCGAGACGACCACCTTTCAGCGTTGCCAGAAAAAAATAAAAGTTTATGAGAAATACAGCAAGGTTTTGAGTCTTTTGACCATAATTAGCTACTGAAATCAGTGGTCTGACCAAGGCAGTGTTTAGTAGCAAATTGTTTTTGCAAAGGTCCAACCGATGATGAACTATTTTTGAAAAATACAGAGTTCGAACCGGTGTCATAGCGGATTTGGATTCCCCGCGGATTTGTACCCCTTCCCCCGGTCCATATCCCACAGCGGATTTGCCCCTTACGGAACATATCTGCTAGCGGGTATGTATCCCCTTTCGCGGAAATGCATGAAGCCCCTATGAAATCATAAGCAGAGAATACGCGTTCTGAAACAATAAGTACTATGGGGCTTTTATATTGATTCCGCATGGCCATCATGGTGACGACTTTCTGCACCATATCTGTAACGGTATCGGTCGATCGTTCATCGTTGGAGACATTCGTTGTCTGGCTTTGATTTGATTTTAACTTCACTGGCCGAGTAGAATAGGTGCATGACCAAACATTAGCTCAAATGGTGTGAATTTGGAGGTTGTTTTCGGCGTCTGGTTTATTCTTCCACTCAGACCAAAATTAAAATAGTGATTTAATTCTCATCGAGGTTGCCATGGTTAAACCACATACTCAGTAGCTAAGTTTGCGCAGAAATATTATGAGTACAGGTTCAAAACCTAAATTTGTCGTTCTAGAAATATTAGTAACGGCCATCGCTCGAAACGTCGAAATTCTCCTTATATTTTTCAGGTAGTTGCATCTCGGCCTACCAACGAAAGCTTGTTAATAAAAGATATGGTAAGTGCTATGATTGGATATTAGCACCTAATCATTCGGAATTGCCGCATGGGAAAATTGCATATCTCAGTAGCTTTGCCTTGAAACCTCGCACCTAATTCCTCGGTGAAAATTCCATCTTCTACCTCATGAAAATATTTTTACCATTCATAAACATTCATTACTGGTATACTATTTGCTTTTCCAAGTCACTAAAGCAAATTAGAAACAAACTAGTGAATTAGCCTTTCTCACGCCGCCATTTTTGGGTGGCAACCTTTGTAGAACGGGATAGTAAGCAGTGAAAATGAAACTTTCTATAACTATAGTTTTTAAGTATAATCATTATAAGTCGATTTACAGTTAAATATTTGAAAAATTATTTTCACAGACTTTTCACGTTGTTTATAAAATAGTACCCAAAAATGGCGGATTTAGACCTTCGCGAGAAAGGCTAATTAATTGGTTTGATCATAGAAGTTTGATCATTCATTTATATTTGTTTTCCAATTTGCGGTGTAAAGCCGGTTTTCCACTTCAATCGTAACGTACCGTAGCATGTATTTTGTGTCGAAGTCATTAATTCCACTCTAGTGCTCAGGAAACAAAGAAATACGCTACGTTTCGGTACGACACGATTGAAGTGGAAAACTGGCTTATGTCTGTGTACGGATGTCCGCGCATCCGCCGTACGAGGTCACAGGTCTTTGTTCTTTGTTCTGGTCTTTGTTCCGTTTATCCGACCGGAAGTAAATTTCCCCGGAATGAAAGGACAAAATGGCCGCCCTATTTAGGGAGAATAACTCCGAGGTTGAATATCCTAGAACTTGTACCCGGCAAAAGGAATAAAAATCAAAGTTGCATTTCGTTTCATCGCAATTATACATATCCAAAGGCATCCAGGACAGACCAAACTTTTGTATGCTTGTGTTTTACTGTAAAAAACATGCCTAAATCGCAGATTCTTATTTATAATTGTTCAATTCTCCCTACCCTACATAGTTCAGTAAGCTTACCAAAGGCAAAGGCAAGGGTTCGTGGCAAGGTCTCGTGAACGGTTTTGAGTTTTGACCCAGCTTTGGGCAATCTTTTACTCGAAAGACCAAAACAACTCTACGTTTTTACTTCATCATACATATATTTTGAGAAACATTTGAAATTTTAACTAAAGAAACAGTATCTTTTAATTATTGAGAGACAATGTGTCGAAATTGTCCATTGCCACAATGGAGCGAACCGATCGAAGTGGAAGTGTCGTCATTGCCAGCGTATTTTGCAAAAGAACAAAGTTGGAATTTTGAACGACTGAATTTTGGCAATGGCACTGTGATAGACACTGAAGATGGTAAATCAGCTCGTCCTTCAATAACTGGTCTTGTAGGTTGTCGGCTTCGTGATGGATTTTCTTTAAAGCCTCACCCTCGCTTTCCAGGAGGAAGATACCTTCTTGTGAGCGAAGTTCTTTATTGTCCAGGCCGTCGTTATGGGTGTACACCGCGGGATAATTGCTCGGGGAAACGACGCTTTTGTCATGCATTATGTAAGCTTTCTATCTTTGCGGATAAACCAAATATTGCATTCGTTTATTATGCTGGTTCTCACGGCACTGGAGACGTATCTTCGCCTGACAAACACCGTCCTAATAAACAAATGTTGGATGAGCTACGAAGACTCCGGATAGAACAAGCATTGACACCATCGCAAGGTATTGAGTGGTGCAAGGTATATTTTGCTGAACATGGCTTGGATGAAAAACAAATGCCAACAAAACAACAGATCAAAAGCGTAATGAAGGTATTTGATTTTGTAATGAACAATTATTCACTATTAAATATTCTATTTATCCAATCTTGCCCCCAACATTCAATATAAATATTCTATTTTATATCCAATCTTGCCCCCAACCCACCAACAACACAAAGAGTGTCTGAATGGGAGACTACCCAGTACCTTCTATTTAATATAAATTGCAGAGTTTGTGCTAACATCAATTCTGTAATTTTTCCATACCAAACCTGTGACTTTCAGGCAGGGCCGGAGATACGAGGGGGGGGGGTTCCCTAAAAAGTTGTCGGGGGCAGGTTGTTGGTCTCTGAAAAATTTTTTCGTCAGTCGGTTGAAATGACCTTACACCCCCCCCTGAAGAATTCCCTGAGGACGGCCCTGCTTTCAGGTTATCATAAAACGTGTCTAAAACGCATGAAGTAGTGTTTTGCAAACCTAAAAATAGAAAAATTTTCTGGACCGTCTAATTGTTCTGTGTATTTGATGAATAGACCCCTCCACTTGTTTGATGCTGGCTATGCCCCTGTGATTATTGACATTGTGAGAATGGCAACATCAGATTGGTCCACGAGAAACTATGCTGTAATGTAATACTAGTTTCACATTTGAAAGAAAATGGTGTAGAAATGTGGTTGCATTCCTGAATGTTTTGACTCTAAAACACTGCACGTTTTTTTTGTGTGAGAGGAAGCATCCATGGTTTTGGTAATTGCCCCTTTTACTGATACAAAATGCATCAAGGAGAGTAATGGATGAACACCATGTTTTTAATCTTTTATAAAGAGAGCGTCCATGAAGTTTTCAAGGATGCGAGAAACTGGGGGACTAAAGTCTTTACCGCCACCTAGTACTCCACCTAGTGGTTCTTCTCAAGAGGCTGGTACTAACATCAGTGCTGCTTCCTTACTTGCAAAGTACACTCAGTTACCATATGCAGAGAGTGGTGATATAGCTACAGATGCTAGTACATCTTATATCAGTGTATCTCAAGATGGATCAACACTCAATGTATCATCCGCTAACTACAGTCCAGGTATGGACATTACTCAAATGCCTGATATTGTGATCTTACCAAGTGGAAATGATGTTGATTTTACTTTTTAGTCTTGTTTGTATTTGTAACAAAATTAACATATTTATTGGAACCAAGTCAAACAGTTTCATGAGACTGCCATTTCCTGAGGCAGATGAGTTCTAAAGTTTTTTAAAAAACAGCACAGTAAAATACAAAATCAGGCCTTAAAATATGTTTTTCATGGCCATCTGACAAAATGTCCGATGACTTTGAGTTTGGGTCGGACATATGTATGATGATGTCCGATGACCAACAATTCAGTTTAGCTCGGAAATAAGTCTGAATGACACAAATATATATTCATACTTATATTTCCAAGCCAAAATTAACTTACATGCCAATAACAACAGTAAGATGTTGACACTTAAATTCATTTTCCACTTCACAATATGTCGCTCACCACTGGCAACATTTTGATTTACATTGGACAAAGCAACAGTTCGGTTGGACACCAATTCGCCCGGGTCAGACAAACAATAAACCTCAGTTTCACTTTGGTCAGATAGAATGTCCTGTGGTTTCCTCTGTACATCGGACAATTTCACGTATGGGTCGGACAATGTCTGTTCTGTTGACTGACCGATATTTTAAGGCCTGAAAATATTGGGTATATAGGCTTGGGCGGTTTACCGGTTTTTCGTTTTTTTCCGGTTTTATTTTCAAACCGGTTTTTTCGGTTTAGCTTTTACAAAAACCGGAAAACCGTCATTACGAAATTGTTTACTGTCAACGCCCGAAACTCGATCCTAATTCTCAAAACATGACACTAATTAAACACAATTACATGACACTAGATACATATTATATTCTTTTTCCGTAAAGTCGGTAAGAACTAAAGAGGTATAAGTTTTCAAATGCGTTCTTGACCCTTTTATTTTAAAACCGAAGTCGTTTTAGGTTACCTTTACACAATTTTGCGTTTTGTCATGTTCTGTTCATTTGTGCTTATGTCAAAAAAATACCACAATTTCTCCTCATTCAGTTGAAATACAAATTAAAGGGAAAAACCGGTTTTCCGGTTTTACCGGTTTAGAATCAGACGGTTTTTCGGTTTTGATTTTAAGCAAAACCGCCCAAGCCTATGGGTATATACAAAATGTTCTGTTCAATACTGGTACAGGTAAATGCAAAAATGCCGGGTCATATGTCGTTGGTAAAAAGGTCATATGTCATCTGATTTGGGGTTTTGACTTTTTGTTGCCGCTGGCTTAGAGTTGTAGCCTTGTAGGTGGAAAACAGTGTGTTAATGTGTCCTACTTGTCTATTTTATATAATTTTATACTATGCCTTATGCCAGATGATTTCACTCAAGAAGGAGAAAGTCTTGGGTGTTAAATCGTCATTATTGGTTTGCCACATCATGGTTTACTCGGATTGAATACTTTATTGATTTTCTCTCAAATTTATGCATTACATTTTTTTGAGCACATACAGTATATAACGCAGCACCATGACCTGGTCTGTGGTAATACCCTGAACATAGTTTCTCAACTTAAGTACACTACATATGGTTATTTAATTAATGAAATACTTGGTTGAATTCTGAAAGATAAATTCTTGAGAATTCATGTATGTTCAATATATTTCAGGTGGTACTCCTGTTTCATTGGGAACTTTGTCAAGACTGGCAGGAACATCTTTGTTGAATGCTCCAGTTTCCATCTCACAATCTACATCTACCACAGACAATCTAAGCAAAGTTCTTGGATTGATAGCAAGTCCTCGACCTCTGGTAGGTTTTTGAATTTTGTTTCTTATTCACTCTACAGTACACTAGTTTAGTTGTTCTGAAAGTGTATCATTAGGACCATGCACAGTCAATTTATGTGGCAAATGTATTCTGCAAAGTCTTATCTATTTGTTAAATATGCAGTATACATTAATTCCCCCTTGAAGCATAAATTTATGGCATAACACAATAAGATCTAATTTACTCTCATTGTGTTATGCCATAAATTTATGCTCCAAGGGGGAATTAATGTACACTGTATATTTAACAAATGGATAAGATTTGCTAAAGAGGAAGCTTGGATGATATGTTACCTTACGTTTAAGTAGCATGTTAGGGCAAATCATGGTAAATAGATTGTCTCAGCTTCAAATAATAATTAAATCAACCTCAAAATTCACCACTTCTGCCGCTACCAGACAGCAACGTGAGGTAAACATCAATCTCTCATCAACAACAATGGTTAATGTATACACAGTGAAATTCTTCTCTGTTCAAAATATGTGAAGAAACAGAAATTTAAAATTATGTTAATAAATAAGAATGTAGATGTTACAAGGTGGGGTCAACCAGAACGGAATCTCTTCTTAAAAGAAAGGGGTACTTAAACATTGATTTACAGCACTACAGTAGTCTGAAGAAATTTTTAAATATTTAATATTATTTCATTTGTGATTTTTAACTTATTTCAGGATGGAGAGAAAGATACAGATAAGCTCAAAGAACATATCCGTATTTTACAAGAAGAGAATTTCTCTAGAATTGCACAAATTGCAGATTTGCAAGTGGAAGTTAATAACTTAAAGGTAAAACATTTATATATAAACGTTCTTCCTTAGTTCCTTTCAGTATACAAGCACTGTATTTGTTGCCCACAGTAAAGATTGTTACCTATGTCTGCCTGATTCATTTAGCCCTTTAGTGGTTATTTCGGTCATTTAATGTAAAATAATATAATGTAAAAAGTGGATTCAAATAAATTGTCTTGTAGATGGGTACGGTCACACTTGGGCAGTGAAAACAAAACTACTGTACCTCTAAAAGACAACCCTCGAAATTCGCCTCGGCACTCGGCAATTGCCGACGCAAATGCCGAGGCAAGTTACGATTTTTCATAGTTTGCCTCGGCAAAAAAATGCCGAGGCAATTCCACCCGCTGTTCCTTTACTTACAAACTACAGTTTCTGTTCGTTTTTTTCTTCTTAAATATACAAACTACGGTGTTAGTTTTTTGTATCACTTCTTTGTTCGAATTGCTGTCATCGACGTTGGGTGGACAACAGAAGATTTCATTCATAGCTACTTTACAAAATATTTAAATTTGAGCTTTTCATGCAGCGTCGGCTTCGGTTGAAATAAAGAACAATCTTGATGGTTTAAAGACGGTACGTCGAGAAACTTTGTTTTATCTTTTAGACTGTCGCGTGATTTTACCGTCAAGTTTATTCTTTCATACAATTGGTTGTAAATTACCACTAACTTTTTAAAAACATTTTGAATCAGGAATTTGTAAAATAACAACAAATTGTCGAACGTCAGAAGTCTCAGAATCTACGCTCGTTACAATATTTGTTTACAATAATTTCCGTATGTACTTTACTTTTATTACAACTGCCGACGTGAATGCCGAAGGGTGCCGAAGTAATTGCCGAAGGAATTTAAGGTGATTTCATTGCGTGCCCCGGCAAAAAAAATTGCCGAGGCACTGCCGAGGCAAACTCGAAAATTATCGAAAGGCTTCGGCAATTATTTGCCGAGGCAAAAATAGTTGAATTTCGAGGGTTGAAAGATGAATAAAACTCAATAACTTATAGTAGAGACTAATTGAAACAAAGTTTATGTGGATGTGGAGAACACATGTCTGGCTTTTTTAAGTAAAACTTTGTTTAGTTTTCACTTGACAAAAAAATACATTCAGATTACAGTGATATACACCACTAAGAATTAGAGAACGAGGGGGCCAGTTTTTTAGGTCTGAGAGTGGTCATCACATACAGGTTCAATTTAACAAATATAAAACATTTTTTCACACGTCGTTATAGGCTCAGGTTTTGGACCTCAAAGAAGATAACCTGAAGAAAGCCATACACATCGCTCAAATTGAAAGGGAAAGGCGATCTGCACAGGTTTACTTTAAACATTTTTTTTCAAATCGTTGAGCTGGAATTCATGTCATTTAACGAATTTGTGTAATATTTAAATTAACAACTTCAAATTGAAAATAATATAAACATCATGTTGATTACTTGTTGCGATAGATCGTATCAGATGAAGAGGCAATCGAAAACTCTGAACCAAGTTTGGAAAATGCACAAGAGACAATACAAGCAGAAGGATTGGTGGACAACAGCGAACAGACAGTGGTTATCGAGGAGTCCCAAGAATCCGCAATGGATGTTATAGAAAGTGAGCAAGCTGTTGAAAATACAGTTTACCAACAAGAAGTATGTGATACTCCAATAACTGTAGTAAATGTTCAAACTGGTACAGTACTTACAGAAGTTCACGCTGCAAGTCAGAGTATTGAGGAAAGTTTACACAATTCTGAAGTTGTTGCTGTTAATGTTCATGCAATTGTTTCACAAGCAGTTGTTGATGAGCAGTTATAAGTATAGATTTTACTGATGAGTGATGCGTGTTGACTGTGTTTTTTCAATTATTACCTTTGTATATATTGTAGTATATAGCTTTGTACTTATTATTGTGTGTCTGTGAAACGGTTAAGAGGCAATTTTTTTCAATGTCACGTATTTGCAATGAAAAGTGTTCAAAACCTAAAATCTTTTTGGCGTTCCTCTCAAAATTACTTTGTTTTAGCTTTATTCTCTAGTTAATGGAGTTAGCTACCTTTTTAAATCCATCTGCCGGTTGAGAAACATAAAATAATAGTTAAAATTGCCAATTAAAATACAATTATCAATAATAGTTTTAATAAAATTTATTATTATTTTATGATTTTTAAACACAGAAATCACTCGTGGTCACTCGTGTGTACTTTTAGACAAGATCAAATAGGATTTGTTGTTAACATTGTAAAATCACGCAACTGGTGTGATACAGATTTGTACATTTAACATGTACATTTCACTGTTATTTGTTATTGTTACTTATTGTAATTAGTTATTGCGATGTATTAGAAAAAGAGTCGAGTTGCAAAAATATAAATATTTACAAACTTGCTGTGATATTATTATTTCGTAGTTATTAGTATAGGTAATCATGCGGGAGTACAATTAGGGATTAATAGTACTCGTGATGTTTGGAAATTTTGCCAAAATTGGACGAGCCGCCGGGGCGAGTCCAATTTGGCAAATTTCCAAACATCACGAGTACTATTAATCCCTAATTGTACGAGCAACATCGCATGATTACTTGTTTATTATTAGCATGGCAAAATTGGATAGTATTACGTACTTCTCAATGTCAACATCATATTCTCTCGCCAAAGCCCAGTCCTGCCAGACTTTCAACTAAAATTTGGTGCTTTTGTTTGTATTTTCATTTAGTTCTTTTGTTCAAGTAAAATTTGGTACTTTTGTTCGTATTTTCATCTAGTTCCTACACGGCAATTTCATTTCACATTTGTGTTTAAAATACCTTTTCGCCATTTTGTTTGTTTTGGGAAAATCATTAATTGTACTGCAGTACAATTAATGAAATAATTGTACTCGTCTCAACCAATCAGCATCCAGTAATTTTGTCATAATAATAAATTCTGTAAGAATGGGTTTATATTTTATGCCGAGTTTTGTTCCCGCTAGAGAAAACTACGAAAACAAAACGTTTTTCACCTTTTATAACAATCTGTTCCCAAACGTGATCGTGGTCCATCCGTGGTCACTCGTGTGTACTTTTAGTCAAGACCGGACAAGAGTCGGAGAGAGCATTAAACAGCGCCTTCTAACTATGCGAGTAGCCAGCCTAGACCTAGGCCTTCTATTTTTATTATTTTTTTTATATTCAGCGCTTTTTCACATGAGAAAACTGGGACTAGGTGATTTTGGGGCGGGGCGGAGTTACCAAATGCTAGCCCGAAATTGACCAAACCTGCCGAAGATACCTGCCAAAGCCAGCCGAGTAAAGGCCTAGGTCTAGGCTGAAAAATCCTCAGTAGGCAGAAATGTCTTGTCTGGAACCATGGCAGACAACGTGATGGCGGCAAGGGGAAACTGATACCTCCAACACACTCGACCTCACATCCATTACGATTGCACGAGCCACAAGGTCTGATGCGCTACTACAGGCGACAGCACACTTTTTGTACCGTATTTCTTAAAAGTTGGAACCCGCCTTTTTAATTTTTTCTGTTGTTGACTCTCTGCAATCCACTCTGTTGCCAATGATAGCGACCCTTTTCAAAGTCTGACTCTCGAATATATATATTGGCATTACCGAAAAACAACCTCAATAAAAATTATTTCTGTTTTAGCAAAGTAACTTCAACCAAGCAAAATGACCAAAAATCACATCACAATGAAAGTGTCGCGGCATCCACGCCTAAATACCAACTATGAAGAAATTCGCGCGTTGTGCGGATTGACATGATTATGATTTTAAAAATACAATGGATTTACAACAATGTCTATTAAAAGAGAAGAGCATAACTAGGCATGCAATAATATTTACAAACTATCGGAAATTTTTATATATGCAATTTGGAGTAAAAATTTAAAAGTCAGGAAATTAGTAAAAAGTTATAAATAAAAACCAAGTTTTAATGCAACCCCTGTCTCATTGCTCGTGGGATAAAACTATTTCTGTGTCGTTCAGTGCCTGAAAAAGGTGCGTATTTAAATATACCGTCTCTACGCCTAAGATTATAGTTATGTTTATTATGTTCCATAGTTCGTTGATAAAAGATATGACTTGGATCACCTAAGATAGTATCGAGTTCTCTCGATGTGGCTTCAATTCTTCTCTCTTCGAGAGTTGGCAGATAACCATGCGGGAGGCCAATAAATTCGTAGACTCCTTCTTTGCACACGTTCCAATTCGTCCTTTAGATATCGTGGCAAACCACCCCACACTGGAGAACAATATTCAAGGATAGTTAAGTGGTGAGAACCACTCGACTGGTAAGTTCGCTCTTCTACATTCTCTTAGGCAGTACAGGTTTTTAGCTGTTTTGCGAGTGGTCTCCTCGACATGTTTATTCCATTTCAGATCCTTTTGAAACCAGGTTCCAAAGAGTTTGAAGTTATCGACTCTTTCTATGATAGCATCTCCTATACGCAGTGGTAGATGGGGCGGTGCTTCGGTGAAGTTAATCCACATATCTTTTGTCTTTTTGGCATTCAGTTCCATCTTATCCACAACCAGAAACTCCTTGTTACATTCATATCAGCAAGCTTGTCCAGAAGGATCTTATGGTCGACCAAGTCAAACGCCTTCCGGAAATCAACAAATAGGGCGTGGACACCTTGTCTACCGGTTGAGGAGTTGTCCGTTGAGTCGAACCAGTTCTGAGATATGGAGGTAAGGGCAGACACGGTGGGGTGACCGCTCGTAAAGGCGTGCTGGTTTGTTTTGATCTTGAAACTGGATTTATTGAGTTGGAACTGTAGCTTCTCGATAACTTTTGCAGCGCGGAAACTTGGTGGAAGTCACTATCTAGGTCTGTGGGTGGACGGATCTTTGGTATGGGACTGATGATTGCATGCTTGTAGGAGATGGGATGTTTGCATTGAATTATGCTTGCAACCACAATATCGTGGACCACTGGTGCTAATTCTTCTGCGTACCGTTTAAGACACCATGCAGGGATATTATCCGACCCAATGGCTTTCCTAGGATTTAGGTGTTTTAGGACGGTTTTGACTTGGACAATGGATGGTAGAGGTGGGTGGCTGTCCTTGAGCAAATACTCTACCGCTTGACGTCTGGGAGGATCTGGTTGAATTTCTAGCCAAGGCTTAATAAAACTTCTTTGTAGTCTGTCAGCGATTGCCATTAAGTCAGCGTGGTCAGGCGAGGACAGAGATTGTTGATCTTCGGTTGCTGCCGCTAGCTTGTAAATCGTTTTATATCATTTGGCGGGATTAGATTGATGGTTGCCTTCAGCCTTGGATTTGTAGCAGCTTGGTGACTTTTGCATGTAAACTTTTATACTTCGGTGTCTCCCCTTTCGTAAATGCTCTCTGTCTTGCTTTTATCAACGCTTTGATATTCGGGGTCATCCACGGTTTGTCCGTACAGTGTGCGCGAACTGTTCTCACGGGTATGGCTTCATCAAGCATACAGATGACGACAGATTTAAAGACTGAGACCTTGTCATCCACATCCATTCGGAATATACTTTCTCCCAGTCTTCAAGATTCATTTTCAATCCCAGAACGTTTAACTGAGTTCTCTGGTTTCATTTGTCGATATTTCTTTGAAACGGGAGGCATCTTCTGTCTTGTTTTGGGTGGTAGGATCAAACATTGGTGATCGGAACGTCCGATAGGTGGAATGTGAAGATCCGACATATTGGTATGTATCTGGTCCAAAATGTTTTTTCCTCTCGTGGGCGACTTGACCTGTTTCCGTAGATTAAAACGGCGACACAAAGGATTCAAGTCCAACTTGTTGAAGTCCCCAGTTTTGTAACTCCTACTCCACCCCTTCCATCATAAGCATTCAAACTCACTATACCGTTGAGTCAGTTTTACCGTAAAGGACCAGCAAATTACTTCGCTCGAAAAAAATATAGTTAAAAATGAACAATAAAGTACGTTATGTTGGAATGTCCCGCAACAACAAGACCTTTGGTAGGATAATTTTACTAATAACATATTCAGTAATTTCATCCTTTTCACCTTCCTTCAACCTTCATTTTTGTATTGTATAATTCATTATAACTTCGTAATAATTTGTTTTCTCTGGTTTCACATAAATTGTTCAGTACTCCTAAACTCTCCTGCATTCTAGTTTCACTCTGCAAACTCTATCTACACCCCCTTAAAAAAACCCTGCTGAAGAAGACTGTTAGGTCGAAACGCATACAGGGTTGCCTTTCCTATTCCAATTCAATCTCTCGCTCTTATATATCCTCGCCCTCATCGTGTCACATAAAATTCACATATTCAGTTACTATCTAATCGTAGTTTCCCTTGTTTTTTGCGTACATGACCACCATCACAGGAGTCGGAGTAAATAAATAAAGGATAACCAATTGAACTACTGGTCTTCATTATTTAGGCTACACAATGTCTTACACTAGTACTTGTCCGATTACCTATTTCATACTAATGAATGTACATTGAATATTTTTTACACATTAGTGCATTAAAAATTGTTGATTATTATTCTTTAATTCTTACCTTAAAACAAAAACACTACAAACACAGTTCAAGTCGACAAGAGTATTAAGTAAAAATATATAAAGTACTCCTCGAAATTAGCTCGAAACCTCGAAACGTACCGCCATGTTGATTTAGCCTGCGAACAGGCTGCTGCGATTAACGGTTGTCTCACTGATCTATATGTTCTACACTGAATAGCCATTTCCGCATAGTGCGCTGATTGGCTAGGGACGGTCACCATCTAAAATACTAGACACTGATTGGCTGCAAGCTAACAGCTAACAGCTAACAGCTAACAGCTAACAGATAAAGCAAACTCGATAGCATAGTATATCTGCTGCGCAGATACAAAAATATGGCGGTGTAAATTCAGTGCTTCCACTTCCAAAAAAAGAATTTCCTTCCTACTGCTCAAAATTTCCATATATTTGACAAAAATTCCTTGCACTAAAGAAGATGAATTTTACCTAGTTTAAAACTGATATTACAATAACTTATCCTGAATGACGGTGTGTTTCTCGGGCGAGAAACACCATGAACGTTGCAATTTATAAATTATAAATTAATTATAAAAAACTTCAACTGGAGGCTTGAGGTCATGCCTCAGAAATGTTTCAGATTTTCCATTCCCCAGGAGTAGGATTTGGATTTTCGACATTTCCTGACGCGAATTTGCTTGGGAATTGCTATAATCTTAGGATTTATTAGAAATAACGTAATACCCTTACTCCTTGCTGAAAACAAAATTCCTTGCCGTTTCATGGTAAATTTTCTTTTCTTTTTGCAAAGAAATTTCCTTGCAAGTGGAAGCACTGCATGGGATGACCGGTGGGGATGACGCTGTACGCAATAGTTGAAGCCTCACCCTTTTCTCACCCTATGCCCCTCCTCCCATTCCATTATTAATGATTGGACCCTTATCTGTGTAAATGTAAAATACGGTTCTATTTTATTTCATTTTGCTAAGTAGGAAAATTCAGTATGTTTTAATTTAAATAGACTATTTTATATATATCTACAAATTGCAATCCTGAATTCCTGTAAATGTAAAATAGGATTAAAATAATGTATTTTATTATATTTTGCAAATTAGGGAAAGTAAATAGGTTTACAATAGTATATTTTATCGCTATTTGAAAAATGTGGCATTTTTAAAAATGTGAAATATATAGGTTTAAAATAGTCTATTTTATTCTGTTTTGCGTATTCTAAAAAATAAATAGCTTTAAAATACTATATTTTATATCTATTTTAATTTATGTAATTTTCTGCACGTGCAAAATATGTTTACAATAGTCTATTTTTATATTTTATTGTTATTTTGTTAACTATGAAAGAAAGATAGGATTAAAATACTATATTTTATTCCTGTTTGAAATTTGTGCATTTAACTTGCAATGTAAAATACTGGATTTAAACAGGCTATTTTATTTTATGAGTTTAAAATAGTATATGTTATATCTATTTTGATTTATGTAATTTTCCGGACGTGCAAAATATGATTCAAATAGTCTATTTTATTGTTATTTTGCAAGCTAATAAAGAAAGATAGGATTAAAATAGTATATTTTATTCATGTTTGAAATTTGTGCATTTAATTACTTTGCAAAGTGTAAAATAGGATTTAAACAGCCTATTTTATTATATGAGCTTAAAAATAGTATATTTTATATCTATTTTAATTTCTAACTGCTTTTTAGTGAAGTAAAATAGAATTTAAATAGGCTATTTTAAACCTATTTTTTCCCTGAGGCTCTGGAAAATAGTATTATATAAAATATGCGATTTTATTTCTATTATCTATAAAAATAGGAATAAAATAAAGTAAACATTAATAAAATACGGTTCTTTCTTTTGATGAAATATTATGATAGAATTAAAATAGGGTTGCCTCCCGATAAAATAGCATAAAAATAGGGGTGATAGTAATAAAATAGTTAACGTTTTAAAATAGCAATATAATATAGTTATTTTCGCAAGGGAAGGACATCATATGACTTTAAATTAGTCTCCAACTAAATATATATATGTTAGAGTTATAAACCGAGTAGGAGGTTTATAACTGATATATTGCCCCTGAGGACGCGTAGCGTCCGAGGGCAATATATCAGTTATAAACCGACTTTCGAGGTTTTTTATAACTAACTTATATCACATTTGTGGAGGTTTTCTAACATATTTTGTCATTTTCAAAAAATTTTAATGAAAAATTCTCGCGTTTTGTCTACAAATTTAATCTAATCATTTATTCAAGGTATATAAGCTAGTTATAAACCTCGGATGATTATTTTAGGCCTCGGAACCATTTCGAGGGAATTTTAATGACCATCATTAGTCTGTAAACGGTGGCATTTTTGATAAATGGAGATTTTATAACTTAATGCGTCTTTTGTCTTTGCTTCGATTTGTCGATTTGCAACGTATAAATACAGCATAGCATATGCGCTTGATGTGTGATGTGGACAAAATTTCAACCTTTTTTGAAGGTAAGCTGTGTTTTGTAAATACTTTTTCGATGACTCATTGCTCGAAAGGCACTATAAAAGCCCTTAGAAATGTTTGGCGTGCATACTGCAACAGTGTTTCGTCGAGGAAATGTCTCTTCACGGCGAACTGCGAGAAATCATCTTTGGCGACAACATGGAAGCAACGATGGCCTTCCTGAGAGAACGTGGTCTTATCGCAAGCCAGAAGAACTGTCCACGGTGTGACACGGGAATGAAAAAGTCGATTATAGTAATATTTTAGGGGAGTCGTATACTTCAAGTACCCTTGAAGTATACAATCTCATTGGGGCAGTAGGGTTGTTAACTTCAATTGATCCGTTGACAAATGACTTAAAATATCCAAATGAATTAATAAGATTATATGTGGCATAATTTGGCACAAATTTGATATTTAAAAATATAATAAAAATATGTCGTATTTGACTACATACCGGATGAGGATAAGTTACCATATTGATAGATAACTTCGGAATAATTTCGCGAGTAGAATAGAAAGAAAACGATTTCGCGAGTAGATCAACGAGATTGCCAATTCACTGATAATTAAGTCAGGATATTTTTAAATTTTGAAGCCAACTGATGGCAAACACCTTGTGTTGTCCACAAGGCCATCAGCCCGCCATTTATGTCCGTTCGCAGGTTAGGTGTGTGCACGATGTAAGCTAATTGCTGATTGGCTTAAATTATATAAGCTCGTCGCTGATTGCATGGCTATGTGTTAATATAGGGTCATGGGTACAGTACGTTTGCGATAGCAATATATCTGTTTCGCATATGCAAAAGCCGGCCGCCATGTGATCATCCGATTCATTCGATCAATTTCTCATTCTAGCATCTGATTGGTTTTGAGCGCCTAATACGCGATTTTGTAAAAAATCTACTCTTAATCCCCGAGCCAACGGCGCGGAGCGCCTTGTCGGGCGTAAGCCCGTGACGAGGGTACTTATTCCAACCGGTTGTTTACTTCCGGGAAAAGGAAAGCATTGGCGAAGTCTAAATAAAGTTCATCAATAATCACTGGCGTGGGTTACCGTGCGTAGTGCGAGGGTGAATAGCGGTCATGAATAGCGGACACTGATTGGTCCAATTTAAAATTTGCATTATGATTGCATGACGACAGCGAAATAGCAAACATTAAACATCTCTTGATTTCTTGAAAATATATTTCATTTTTGCAAAATTTTGTAAATGTAAAAGCTTTTAGAGAAAAGCTTTTTGAAAAAAAAGTGAGAATTGTTAAAAGAAGGGAGCAAACTCAGCCAAAAACACCCACGTTAAAGAAGGTAATTTTGTTTTAAATATCGATGTGTTGTTTGCTTTAGGAAAGAATCAAATATACGTTTCTGTCAAAAAGACGTCAATATGGCATGTCTAATTACAAGATCCGCCACGCCCTACCAAAGACGTCCGACCCCAATAACGGATGATTTGCATGACTATATTTAATTCCACACTTCCAAAACTCCAATTATACGGAGATTGTTCGCGTTTAAATTTGAATTTTTTAAATATCCAACCAGCTTCAGTTGATGAGATATTTTTAGTTTACCGCTAGTTGTAGTTGATTGCGCGTGAATTTCACGCGCGCATGACCGAAAGTTGTTGTTCAAAAAACACAGTGACCCTATTATTATTTCCCTATTATATACAACTGCCCATTTCGTCATATTTCGTTTAGTGGCATAAATTTTCCTTAGTGTTATTCAGCGTATATTTCGAGAAAAAAAGACGCCATATCTTTAAACCCCCTCTCCCGAAACGTCATATTGACGTCTTTTAGGCAGAAACGTATAAATTATTTGATCCTTCCCTTAATAACTACTTCAAAAGCTGGTCGTTGCGTATAATGAAAAAGACAGCATACAATTTCAGTGTACAGGGGGTATCTTTATTGATTACCCTTTTGTTATTATATTAAAGTTTTAACAAAAAAGAAAGCGAAGTTATTTGCATGCAAGAATTTGAAATCGTTTTACTTCAAACTCAAAGTTTATGATAAAGTTTAATTAAGTTTAGCTTATTTTAGTTTTATAAAGTACATTTCAAAGCGTTTTGCGAAGCGTTTGTGATTGAATTTAACATTAATTTGAAGCACATAATACGTATAATAACATACGTACCTGACATATATATGTCTGGAAAATTGGCAATTCTGTAACTAAAAGTGATATCTTTTTTTTTTTGGGGGGGGGGTTCTTAATAAAATCATCGTGTTACCGTGACAACTGATGTAAATACTTCATGGTCGGAAAATATAATGGTTTCGCAAACAAGGAGAGGGTTGCTACATGCTGGCATTTTCTAGTATTACGTATTTCATAATTACCAGACCTTTTATCTTTTTATTGCAAATAGGTGATAGAATTTCTCATTTGTTGAAAAGTTTAAGCAGTGATGGTAAGTCCAATGCAATGAGATTTATTCAAGCCGTCATAAAATTTTATATTAAACAACACTGAGGAATTATTAAACATTATTTTTTCGTTTTTGCTGAAATTAGTTTCGAGGATGTTTATCTGAAGTAATTTTAGCTCGGACTGTTTTTCGGAGATAATAATATATAGGCACTCTACTAGAAGTTACTATCGCAAGGAAAGTGCTGCCTCGCCCCCAAGGGATCGAAGGCAGCATGTGCAATTTGTAGAATAAGGGGCTGTTTTTATGATCTAGCCGCCTCCGCAGGCAACTCTTTGGCAAAAATATTATGAATAACAGCGAATTTAAAGTTAGGGATTGTTAGGGATCACAGAGCGTAACCCTATAATATTCACATTTTTGCCAATTTTTTATTCATAATAATACTTTTGCCAATTCTTGACAAAGAGTTGCCTGCGGAGGAGGCTATATATGATCCTGCTTTGCCAGGATGAGATGCCAGGCAGGATTATTTTGATGTATTACTTCTAAAATAAATTACTGTGCATGATTCAGCAACGTTGTTCAAGCAGCAATAATCTTCTTGAACTACAACATTTGAATTCTGTTGACTTATTTCAATACAATAAAATCACCCGGCTTCCAATATTTACAGTAAACAGCCCCTAAGACACATGTTCATGAGGTAGGAAAAGTACAATTTGAATATCAAACACCTTGCACAAAGTCAAAGGTCAGCTAAATATTCTATTACTACTTTCTTGGCATTGGGCAGTTTTATATGAACGCCTTCAATGTTTATAATTTCTTGCTTTTGTATGTATAATTACAATATATGCAGGTTTATTAGGATAGCATGACCAGTTGCCATGGCTAGCTAGCCACTGAATACTGTATAATATCATATATACAGTGTGTCTAAAAAAGTGAATCCGTTCAAATTTGACAGCTCTAATTGCTTTGAATTAATGATTGGGTAAGAACACAAGGTCTTGTACTCATGGGACAAAACTCAAAGAAATAAAAATTAGAAAATTTAAAAGAAATACAGTATTCCTTGTGTTCTTGCCTAACTATTAATTCAATAATGCAATTTAGACTGGTGTCAAGTTACTACAATATAGCTAATTTGAATTTGAAAGGGTTCGCTTTTTTTTGAGACACACTGTAGAAATACTAAGTCAGTTTTTGTCCCAATTATTATTTACATGGCACCTTCAAGGCTACCCCTATTGCATGCAAATCAACCGAACAATCTGATAGGGAGATAAAATCTATTTGTTAATATTTTTGTTTAATTAATATGTCAGCTTCAGAAGACACCATTCATTGTACTCAGTCAGAGATTGTACTCAGTCAGAACTACAAAACTATATAAGAAAGAAATTGCGAGCATTATCGAAGAATATTCTTGGGTTTCATATGACATCACAGAAGTGACAGGGGGGGGGGGGTCAACTGTAAAACAAAACACAGTTATCAGAGTGACTCGATTGTTTGTTTTATGTATTAGCCTTGTGTTTGGTGGCAATACATGGAATTTCGTATAATTTTCTCACTCCAGTACAGCACAAGCATCAATGCATGTGAGGTTGACCCCCCATCAGATCCACTGCATAATGCCAAGTTAGTAAAACCCAAGAATAGCATACCCGGAAACATATTGCATAACACAGCCAGGTGAATGTATGAGTATAGGTCGGTAGGATTATTTCATATTATGTTAAAGATGCTGTACAGTCTGATCTGCACACGTGCACAAAGCAGGAGCCCTCTTTTTAATATACAAACAGTTTATTTAGGTTTTATTTCGTTTTATGTTCTTGCAAAGCTTGATTGTTGTGTCTTTATAATTTTTTATACTCTAGAATCACGAAAATATAAATAGTTGTCGAATAAATTTCTATATTTTGGATACCGAAATGTAAACAAAGCCTTTGTAGTCTAGGACCTGTATATGAGTTTGTATGCATTTCATTTAGGACAGATAATCTCAACTGTTTTGGGGCAAGTTGACCATGACGGTCAACATGGTAACGCTGCCCGAACCCCAATCCGGGGCGAAACGTCCGAAACTGACCACACCCAAAAACAACGCTTTCGTCATACTGCTATCTACCAAACCATAAAAGCTTTGACTATTCTGAGGTGCTTATATGGTTCAGAGATGTTAATTTGGGGGGTGGTCACTGGTAAGTGTGAAATGCCTAGCACTAATATTTCACAAGAAAATGGCCATGCAATAATCATAGTTAAACGTCGATTTGTGGCTTGCAAATTCAGATAAACAGCAGTGGACTTACATTACCTTTTCCCTAAATCTTCTTGATAGAAACATAAATGGTACTTATTTAAATATATTATCACTGGTTTGGTGTAAAATAGTTAATATTTTCTGACCGAAATAATAATTTGAAATGTGCCTACCTCCTGCAAATGGACGTATTTGGCCAAGTTCTCCACTTTACTCCGCTGTTTATCGGCGATCTCGTCGACATCCTACAAAAAATGTAAATCATCTCAGACATAATGGTATCAAGAACATTTTAAACAAGTTTCAACTTGGTTTCAAGTAGATCATACCTGTTGAACCATCGACAAGGTAAATCCACAACTTTGTCCAAATTCGGCGCCATTTTGTTATCCCATGTCGCTTGTTAACAATTCAGCCTTGTTACTCTTCAATCCAAGCCATTTCCATTCCACTAATAATAAATTTAACCCTTTATAACAGGAAGAAACTAAAAAATCTAAACAAAATATAAGAAATGCGCCATTTTATCACCCTGTAAAATGTTGTTTACGAGTCCTTCGAAACATTTCGTACAAATCTCGCGTGGTTTAGCAACAGGGACGTGACAGGGGGGGGGGGTACAGACTTGAAAAATGAAAGGAAAGCCCACACAGTATGGTAAAACCAACAATCAACATTTAATTTGTATGACTTTTTCATATTAATAAATAATAATATGTATATATTTGTCGCTACAAGAAATAAAACAAACATTTGTATGATTGTATTTAGCTTTTAGTCTATTTCACGCAGCCTTCTTCTATCTTCGTGAAATAATTCACCCCCTCCTGTCACGTCCCTGTTACTTTGTCACGCGATATTTGTACGGAATGTTTTGAAAGACTCGTGAGCAAAATTTTACATGGTGATAAAATGGCGTATTTCTTATATTTTGTTTAGATTTTTTAGTTTCCTCCTGTTATAAAGGGTTAAATTTATTATTAGTGGAATGGAAATGGCTTGGATGGAAGAGTAACAAGGCTGAATTGTTAACAAGCGACATGGGATGACAAAATGGCGCCGAATTTGGACAAAGTTGTGGATTTACCTTGTCGATGGTTAAACAGGTATGATCTACTTGAAACCAAGTTGAAACTTGTTTAAAATGTTCTTGATACCATTATGTCTGAGATGATTTACATTTTTTGTCGGATGTCGACGGGATCGCCGATAAACAGCGCAGTAAAGTGGAGAACTTGGCCAAATACGTCCATTTGCAAAAGGTAGGCACATTTCAAATTATTATTTCAGTCAGAAAATATTAACTATTTTACACCAAACCAGTCATAATATATTTAAATAAGTACCATTTATGTTTCTATCAAAAAGATTTAGGGAAAAAGGTAATGTAAGTCCACTGCTGTTTATCTGAATTTGCAAGCCACAAATCGACGTTTAACTATGATTATTGCATGGCCATTTTCTTGTGAAATATTAGTGCTAGGCATTTCACACTTACCAGTGACCACCCCCCAAAGTACCATCTCTGAACCATATAAGCACCTCAGAATAGCCAAAGCTTTTATGGTTTGGTAGATAGCAGTATGGCGAAAGCGTCGTTTTTAGGTGTGGTCAGTTTCGGACGTTTCGCCCCGGATTAGGGTTCGGGCAGCGTTACCATGTTGACCGTCATGGTCAACTTACCCTAAAACAGTTGAGATTATCTGTCCTAAATGAAATGCATACAAACTCATATACAGGTCCTAGACTATTGTTTACATACGGACTGTACCGCATCTTTATTAACAATGGAGATGTCTCAGAGATATTAATATAAACAGCCCATCAGGCATGCATGATACCCGGCCTTGTACAAAAGTCAGTTGACATGCTATTTCCATGTATTAACTGCTGGTAGCCTGCTATTAAAGTTAATATATACAGACAAATACAGACAACAAACCCCACACTGGGTTGCTATAGGAAGCCTGATTACGTGCACAAGTATTAACAGTCCGTCTGTCCGCGTTTGTTTTTAAAACGTGCTGAAAGCACCATTGCTATAAACATCTAAAATAAACACTATATAAAATTCATCGCCACACAAACAAATAAACTCAAAGTACATTCCCAAGCTCCTTGTATATAAAATAAGATAGCTGTCATTATTGACATCATGAAATCATATGTTTCAATACCTCTGTATCGAATGCTATAAAGCAGCAGATCTAAATGCCTTCAAGTATATCACCAGAAAGAAATAAAACCATTCTTACCTGATTTATTCTTTGATATTCGTTTGCAATCCAACATATAAACTCGTATGATCTCGTATTAAAAGTTTAATTAAACTGCTTGCACAAACGCACAATACAAAATAAAGTTTGACCGCCCCCCTCGTTAAAAAAACTTCCTGAAGCTTAATTATTCCTCCCGGAAATCATCTTAACAGACAGACAGACTCAAATCGAGATCTCGACAATCTCGTTTCCAGAGTATGCCTGTTCGCGGGTTAGGTTGTGGCATGACTCTGGGGAAATCGACTCGAAATCGTTATTTGATTGGCCGCTGTGATCATCAATGCTGCCGACACAATTAATGCGTGTTTTTTACGAGAATTACGCGTGGACATACGCGAAGAGAGAATTCACAATGTTTGTCAGATTTGGAATGCGAAATCAACAATATAAATCGAAGGATATATTATATTAATCGTATGAAAAAGTATTGGGACGTTGGGTATATACTTACAAAATGACATGGTATTTATGAATGACTTTTTATCGATCTACAGTATGAGTATATTTATTATAACCATGGAAGAATTGGCTAAATGAAATCATCGCACACGTCGTTGTTTTGTTAAATTGACATATTGTTGCAAGGACTTTGGAGTGACAGCTTTTGCTTGTGTTAAAAACTTGAAGCTTTAAACAATACAGTACATTATGGTCAACACTCAGCATGTTGTAGCCTGTGGTCTTTGTGCTTTTGTAAATGGAGTTATCTATATAAATTTAAGATGCCAGGTGTTTTTGTAGCATCTGTATAAATTATAGAATAATTGATTTAAGAAGTTCCTCAAGTTGTAAAACATTTTGGTTATAGATTTGCTTTGTAAGTGATTGCCACTTGACAGCATGATGGGCTATAACGTACACCCTGTCGAGGATACATGTTTTTCATGGTTATACCCCTGAAGAATTTCGAACTCAAAACCTTTTACCCCTGAAGAATT